GGAGCTCAAAACTTTTAATTTATTATTTTTTTGATACATGTAGATAATCATTTTGTGCCTGAGCTAAAAAGGAAAATAATACAAGAGGCATTTTGGAATGATGAGCTCCATCAAGAAATTGTTGACCATCAAATAGACTTTATCTTTCATAAGCCAGACTGCCGAGAAAGGTGCATGATGGACATTGATAAGCAGAGAGCACTTGTACCATATGAACATGAATGTCATTCTCTGTGTAAAGAAAGAGGTAATTTTTCTTTAATTAGTAATTAAGTTTCATGACTGTGATATTTACAATTGGCTGCTCAACCTTATTGCACATGTAATTTTCTTTTTTTGATATGCAAGAAATTCAATTTTACTAATTTTTTTAGTATAAAAATTTTTGCATTTAATTTATACTTGGGTAACAAGACAAACAACTGTCCACAGTAGTATCAATAGTTTATGGACTGTGTCAGCTTCTTTATCTACATGTAGTTGTTTCCCACAGTACTAAAATATGTGGAGATACATGTATAGAAGCAATGACCAATGACCTTCATAACTAAGTAATGAATTTACTGATAGAAGGACCGTGGTGTCCCCTGTAATGTTTAATGTTTTAACCTCCATATACAGTTGTATGTCACATCTTGTACATGTATTGCACACACCATTGTAATATCTCTTTAAGAACAAAAACCAAAAGAATATGAAAGAAAGAATGAATGAAAGATAAAAGAACAAACGAACGAATCAACGTGTGTGTTACAAAAACAATCTTAAATAATGTACCACCTACACATAATATTGATAACCATAATAATAATCATGAATAATAATGAGTATGCATGTAACTAACCAAATAATGTAATAATACATAGATAATAGGTAGTGTATGCATCTACATGTATATGGATACCAAAGTTTGTCCATATGAAGATACCACAACCATGTTACTTATTATGTACATTGTACATGTATATGGACTCATTGTACTGTCTTTTCCAGTTTTGTTCATGAATTCTAAAAGTTGTTAAAAGATTGGGCCTAAGCTAGTAACATCTATGTTTTTTAAAGCAAACCAATAAGTTTCTGTTTCATGCAAAAAACAGTTGAAATAATTTAACATGAAATAATATTATTATATTTGTAATTCTAATTGAGTCTATTTTAACTAAAGGATCAAGCGTCATTGAATGTGTAATTGTGATTGAGCTTTTGTAATTGATCCTACATGTATGTCTGCTGAGAGATTATTTTTATTTTTCATTAGGTTGTGGAGAGCTTTTTGTTACTGATGGGATTTGGAAGTTGGGTTATCCAATTTGTCTTTTTAAAGTCCCTATTACTGTTGAAGGGATGACCATCAATTTACCAGACTGTTGTCCGTTTGAACCAGAACACGGAAAGTTATTTTGTAAGAAACATGCTTCAGAGCTAAAAGATGCTGGAATTCCTGATAATCTTCTTGGCTATGCAAGGCAAATTCAAAAAGAAGTTGTTGCCACAACAATGGACTGTTGCAATGAAGATTTAACTGATGAGCAGCACATGGCACTTGAAGACATCTTTAAAAGACTGAATTATCAAAAAAAGGATTCCATTGCAACAGTTGATATGCAAGGTTTGGCACCATATGCATGTAGACGGTAGTTTTATGCTTTATATCATATAGCGGAAAGTTTTGGAGGGAGTTAAATTTGGCAATTTGTTAAATTTTGGTGATTGGCGAATTTTATTTTGGTGAATTTGTGGCCACGTGCCATTGAGCATGCACATAATGGCTTAAAATTTTTATTTTGGCAAATGGCTATCAAAACACCTAATTTGCCAAGTTTAATCGGTTAATCCCCTTCGAAATTTCCCGCTATACGGTAGGTATTTAATGCTCATTTTTGCACATGGATGTACCTTTAGTTAAGTGTTGTTGAATTATTTTTTATAGGATCAAGGGAATTAGTCAGTAAGTATCCAGGCCTTTTAGATGAAAATCAAGAAATTACACTATGCAGAAAAGATACGGGAACATCTAAGAGGTTACGCCAGTGGTCTAGAGGCTATCAGTTTATTATTAGCGGAGGAGGCCATATTGAAATGTTCTCTCCTCTATATACGTGAGTACACTAAACATTGTATATTGCCCTAAAACTCTATATTATGATTTTTTTAATTTTGTGTAGGTCTGAATCACCATCGCAGGTATTTCTTTTCCTGGTTAATTACCTTGCTAAGAAACTTGAGCATGTGCCAGTAGAGAAATGGAAAGACGTCTTTATTGCATACGACAATATGTGTAACCTTGATCGCATGAAGGCTACAAAGAAAGATTTGCCATTACCTCCACCATTTAATAAAATGTGGAGTTCTGTCTCAAAGATTATTGATTCCTTCCACTTAAGAAATCATAAAGGCGAAAATTGTAAATTGCTGTACAATCCTGAAAAGTTGAAAGTGGTCCATGAGAATTATAATACTCAAGCTTGTGAACAGACTTTTTCATGGCTCAGCCGTTTTCATCGCATACTATCGTCTGTTCCTAGAGTCCACAACCATTTCTTTCTTCATAGAATGGTGAAGAAACGGAACAAATATAACAGTTACTGTTATTCTCAGGGCAAAAAACCAGTATTACCTAATGTTAACCATTTCAGTAATTGAATTTAATACTTAATATTGTTATGATTTCTGTTATTATTAATTGTTTTCGTTGTTGTTCATCATTGTATTGCAATTATTATAACAACTGTTTACAACTTTGGAGGGAGTTCATCAGTTTTGATAGCCATTTGCCAAAGTAAAACCTGCCATTATACGCATGCTCATTCATAGATATTAGAGACTATGTATATTAGACATTACGTAGTCTCTAATATTTATGGCTCAATGGCACCATAGATCTATGATGGTATACATGGCCACAAATTTGCCAATCACAAAAATTAGCAATTCACCAGATTTTAGTCCCTCCAAGATTATGATATCTGTAGATAATTAAAGTAAACAGGATTTTAGAGGACATCAAACACCATGCCACCATCATAAGCTAGGACTGGAGGAGGGAGGGGTGGTTGCTGGGCAAAGCAACCAGGCAGCATTTTTTACTGGTGTTTACTTGAGTTAACTTGTGTTTATTGGTGTTTAGTTGTGTATACTGGTGTTTACTGGTGTATACTGGTGTTTACTGGTGTATACTGGTGTTTAGTTGTGTATACTGGTGTTTACTGGTGTTTACTGGTGTATACGGGTGTTTGCTGGTGTTTGATAGTGTTTAGTTGTGTATACTGGTGTTTAGTTGTGTTTACTAGTGTATACTGGTGTATACTGGTGTTTACTAGTGTATACTGGTGTATACTGGTGTTTACTAGTGTATACTGGTGTTTACTTGTGTTTACTGGTGTATACTGGTGTTTAGTTGTGTATACTGGTGTTTACTGGTGTATACGGGTGTTTGCTGGTGTTTGATAGTGTTTAGTTGTGTATACTGGTGTTTAGTTGTGTTTACCGGTGTTTACTGGTGTTTACTAGTGTATACTGGTGTTTACTAGTGTATACTGGTGTTTACTAGTGTATATACTGGTGTATACTGGTGTTTACTAGTGTATACTGGTGTATACTGGTGTTTACTAGTGTATACTGGTGTTTACTGGTGTATACTGGTGTTTACTGGT